GATGAGGTTTCGGAAACTATAATCCGAAACCCGAAACTTTCGGATTTGGCCAAAAAGGTTTCGGTGACCAAGTTTAATCAGCATCCACAACAATAAGCTGCTTATTTAAGTCTTTTAATAAATCAAAATTTTGCTTGGATTCTCCCAATCCTACTAGACTTTTATCGAAGCTGTTACCAAGTTCGGGACTTTTATTAAATATGAAGGTAGCAGCTTTATATATGGATCTTACTGATTTTTCAGGATTACGGATTAAGAACGTGTGCGTCATCTCCAAAAATTGAGGATTTGTTAAAATCAAAGTCTCTGATGTGGCACTTAGAAGAACAACCGAATGTTCATGATAAAGTACTCGTTTTGATTTATTTGAGGATTCATCATAGTGGGTTTTCCAAACTTCGTCAAAGATAGATAAAACTTTTGGCATGAATAAACTAAGATTTGACGGCTTTGAAGGATCTGTAATACAATTTTTAACATCTTCTTCATATTGATTAAGAATAAATTCATGTAATGGTTCGGAAATAATATGAAATTCTTGAGAGCGTTGAAGGAATGGTCGCTGAAATGCGTGGAAAACAGATCTGGGGTGGGTAATAATAATAATAAAATAAAACCTTTTTTAGAAAAACTAGCATAGAATATCATTAATAAAAGTCATGCACAAAAAAAAAAAAACAATAAATTAATGATTGGCACTAAAATTTCACAACCCGCATTTTAGTGAAATTCATACTCATCAATAACATGAGATGTGAATAATTAAAGGTTTTTATTTTTATTTTTATTCATTAATTGATATTTTTTTTATTATTACTCTAAAACAATATACATATATGCAAATTATTACTTACACAATAGAATTATTGGCTTTTGTTCAGGCATATTGAAATTATATCAATACATCATTATGGTGAGCAGTTATGAATATACTTTAGTATCACGAGATGATTTTAACGTATGAACGAATATAGTGGAAAATGGGTTAAAGCTAATGCCAAATCGTTAGTTGAAAAATAAACTAATTGACAACTTTCCAACTGAAAAATTTAAGGGTAGAGTATAACAAGACTCCAAGCCTCCAAGCTATATAAACAGGAAGAACCGTCGATGTTACACGACTGATCCTTCACCCGGTGTGCAACATATAAAAAAATTATTTTACATACGTACGTACGTACGTACGTACGTATGTAATATCGGATTAATTTCTGAAAGTCCGTCCTAATATGCATTTCCGTAATACTTTAAAATTACATACGTACGTACGTACGTAGATATATATTTACTTAATTAAAATATAACAGCAATTTTATAAATCTTTACTTTTCAAATTTATTATAAACCATCTAAAAATATTATTTGACATGTCTGTTAATTCAAAAGTTATCATGGATGAAAATAAATTTGAACAGTTGTTAAAATTTGCTGAGGATGGCAATTCTGATGGACAATACGCTATCGGAATCTGCTATCAAAATGGCATAGGAATAGCCAAGGATGAAAAAAAGGCATTTGAGTGGTATTTGAAATCCGCTGAAGGTGGCGATTCGAGTGGGCAATTAAATGTTGGATTCTGCTATAGAAATGGTATAGGTACAGATAAGGACGAAAAAAAGGCATTTGAGTGGTATTTGAAATCTGCTGAAGGTGGTAATTCGAATGGACAATCTAATGTTGGATTCTGTTACAGTAATGGCATAGGCACAGTAAAGGATGAAAAAAAAGCATTTGAGTGGTATTTGAAATCCGCTGAAGGTGGCAATTCGGAGGGACAATCTAATGTTGGAATCTGTTATAGTAATGGCATAGGCACAGCAAAAAATGAAAAAAAAGCATTTGAGTGGCATTTGAAATCTGCTGAAGGTGGCAATTCGAATGGACAATTTAGGGTTGGAAGCTGCTATGGCGAAGGCATAGGCACAGCCAAGGATGAAAAAAAAAGCATTTGAGTGGTATTTGAAATCTGCTAAAGGCGGCAATTCGAAGGGACAATCTAATGTTGGAATCTGCTATGACGAAGGCACAGGCACAGCCAAGGATGAAAAAAAAGCATTTGAGTGGTATTTGAAATCCGCTGAAGGTGGCAATTCGAAGGGACAATCTAATGTTGGAACCTGTTATAGTAATGGCCATTCGAATGGACAATCTAATGCTGGATTCTGTTACAGAAATGGCATAGGCACAGTCAAGGATGATAAACAAGCATTTGAGTGGCATTTGAAATCTGCTGAAGGGGGCAATTCCGTTGCACAATATAATCTCGCGTTGTCTTACCAGGAAGGCAGTGGCACGTACAAGGATGAAAAAAAGGCATTTGAGTGGTATTTAAAATCCGCTGAAAACGGTTATTACAGTGGACAATATGAAGTTGGATTATGCTATCGAAATGGCTATGGAACGTCACCTAATCAAGAAAAGGCTATCGAATGGCTACAAAAAGCAAAAAGTAATGATTTTCAAAAGGCAGTTGATTCTGAAAATCTTGATAATTCTCTAAAGCGGTTATTATCTGACAATAATTTGGCAATATCATGGATTCCATTTGATGAATTAGAATTTAAAAGAAAAATTGGAAAAGGTGGGTTTGCAACTGTGTATGGTGCTATTGGAAACGCGTAACTACAAATAATATAACTGTAAATCAGAATGTTGCAATTAAATTATTTCATAAATCAAAAGATAGCTGTAAAGAACTTATAAAAGAGGTAAATGCTTGAAAAATTCAAGTTTAATAGTTTATTCATTGCTATTCACTCATTAATTTTATCACTTTAAAGTTAATCGTATATTCAAATATTGGAACTAAAAACCCCACATTTTTACAATGCTATGGAATATCAAAAGATGAAGGCACAGATGATTATATTTTAGTTTTGCAATATGCAGAAATGGGATCTTTACGTGAGAATCTTTATGAAGTTGCACAAATGAAATGGGAGAAAAAATTAGAATTATTATCCTATATTGCATTTGATCTTCAATTAATTCATTCGAATAATATTATTCATTGTGATTTACATAGTGGTAATATATTTCAAGATGATTTATATAATGCATATATTGGAGATTTAGGAATTGCAATATCGGTTAATAGAACATTAGACAAAAATTCAGGAGGAATTTATGGAGCTTTACCGTATATAGCACCGGAGGTTTTGCAAGGAAAATCGTTCACTAAAGAATCAGATATTTATTCTTTGGGAATGATTATGTGGGAGATTTCTTCAGGAAATGTAGTATTTTCAGACTACAAAGATGATGATTCGAGTCTAGCTATAAACATTTGTTGTGGATTAAGGCCAAACATTCTTAAAGGTACAACAACATGCTATGCAGAACTTTTAAAAACGTGTTGGGATAAAAATCCAGAAAACCGTCCATCGGCTTTGAAAATTCATGAAACCATTTTGGGTTGGAAAAACAATGCAGAATTTTTTACTGAATTTTTAAAATCTGATGAAGAAATGGAAATCCAAAATAATGGCTTTAACGACTTAGGAGACAGTACGTTTCATATTAGCAAATTC